AAGCCATGGCGAGGACGCGGTGTTTTTCAAGTCGTGATATAAGGCGACAAATTTGTATGTCATATATAGAATTATATATAGATATATGTTTTCTAAATATTATCTAATCAGATAATGATATTTAAAAAAATGTACATTCATATTAGAAGAAGAAAATTCATATAGACTATTATTATAAAATAGGTTTTTAATTAAATATTTAAAATAAAACTTAAAAAGGTAATTTTACAACTTCATGTTAACCGTGAGTCAGTAACATTTATGGATTTGTGAAACTGTAAGTGATTTGATTAGTTAGATCTACAAAAATACAATATATAAAGTAAAAATTGTAAAAACACAAAAGATAAAAAAATTAAAACATAATTTTTTTTTTGGAAAAAAATCACGTGTTACAAAATACGCATGCCTCAGGACGCCATGACGTGAACCACGCCTTACAGAAACGCTATGGGCCATTTCGTAATGGCAAAGATGTGTCTTTTGCATCATATCGTGCCATGGCGCACGCCATAACCCGCCATTTTGAACACTTGTATAAACTATAGAACAGAACATCTAAAATCTTGCATCTAGAATATCAACGACAACACGAAGAGCATTGAGTTCTATTTTCAAATAGCAGACCCTTTTGTCTAGCCAAATCAAGCATGTTTTTTCATTCGCAGGTCATTCTCTCTTCTAACATCCTCTAAATGATCCCCATTTCTACCGCTACAGGCTTGATGGCATTTAAAGAATGAAACCCAGTGGAATGAACAAGTTTATGGGAAGTTCCCGACCTCACATGAGAATATAGGCATGCATAGTTCCAAATAAATCTTGATCATAGTTTCAAAAAGATCTCTCAGAATACCCCTCCTGGTGGCAAAGAAACAAAATCATGTCTGAGTTAAACGTACATAGATGACACAAATAGGGGTGTAACTGATGCGAGTCGAGCTCGAGTATCAGTATACTCGACTCGGAAACTCGTGAATAGTTAAAAACTAAACTCGACTCGAACACGATTGCAATTTTTTAAACTTGAACTCGTTTGAAGATCAAACCAAGCTCAAACTCGAACTCGAATCAAGCTCGAACTCTAATCAAGTTCATCTGTCGAAATCTATGAAATTTTAAGATCTTCTCTTATAAATTATAAAACTTAAAGGTGTTCTTTTAAATTTTAAAAAACTAAAGGGATACACCCCAAACTTCATTATCAAAAGGACAAAGTTACAAACTTCATTCACATCCCTCTTTTTTAATAACAACTCTTCATCTTTTTATTTTTATTTTTAATATCTCTCTCTTTTTATAACAACTCTCCATTCTTTTACTATCTCTCTTCAGTGTGGGATAATTTTACCAACATTTCTATAGTTTTTTTTTTCTTTTTTAATTATGATTTTAATTAAAAAAATTATTGATATAGTTTTATAATTATAAACGCACAACATTATTCAAATGTCTAAAAATATAAGACATTTTTATTATATTATATTATACATATTATATTATAAAACTGATTATATTTTTGAAACTAATTATATATAAAAAATCGAGTAGCTCACTAGATTTTCGAGTCGAGTATTGGGTAGTTCGACTCGACTCGTTAATATGTCGAGTCGAGTTCGACTTTGAGCCGAGCCTATTCGAGTCGAGCGTTGACCGAGTCGATCTCGAATAGCTCGCGAGTTGTCTCATATCATTTACATCCCTAGACACAAATTACATCAAACTCAATACCAATTCAAGAAAAATACTAGATTAGAACATAAAGATTCAAGAAAACATTCACGCACACACCCATTAAAATCTACACCTAGTATTCATCAAATTTCATATCTTTTTACAGATGTCTTTGATGTAATCATCGTTTTCAAATTTCGGGATTTGAATTGAATAACAGAACAAGAATTTAGCAATCCCGTCAAGAACCACAAACATAATCTTGAAATGACTCCACTTTCCTTTTCCAAACAAGATTTTGACCACAAATCTTTGAATCAATCAACCTAAATGTTCTTGATTCAAATGGGAACATCCAAAGACAAGAATTTGGTGCCCAAATTTGGTTAAAGAAGGGTATTTAGATTAATAATACAAAAAAGAAAACATAAAAATCAAGAATTTTGAAATACGAGCATATGAAGCACAACCCACTTCCCAAATCAAGAACCCACAAGAGATCGAACTTTAAAAAATCCAATTGAAATCTAAAGATGAGATCTGCTATTACAGATCACAATCTTGTTAAGTGCAGATAAATTAAGCAAGTAATAGAGATGAAAAACTTATCCAGAAGCAAGAGTGAGCGTCAATCGAAGAGAAGTATATGATTCTATTAAGAATACTATCCATTTCCACAATTGAAAAACGAAAGAACAAAACATAAATCAATTAAGTAATAAATTTAGCCGATTCTTTTAAGTAATTTATCATCATCGCACATAATATACAGCCAGAAAATAGAAAAACCCAACAAATGTAATGAAATTAGCATAAATCAACCAGTTAAAAAAAATATACCTTTTCGAGCAGCAGCATGAGGAAGGACTTGAGCGACGAGGGAGAAAGGAGGAGGGTCGTGAGCTACGATGGATGAGGCCTGACCGAGCGGTAGCAGGGAGAGTCGGGACCAACGAGGGAGGAGGAGCGATGAGCGATGGGCGTGAAACCTAATCGAAAAAAGCGAAGATCTGACTCTGGCAAGCATGGAAAGCGAAGATTTGACTCTGGCAAGCATGAACTTGACGTTGATTGGGTAAGATCTCGGTCAACATCTTGGTCAGATCCGTGATTTGGTAAACACACTGACCGCTAGCCGAGTCAAATTTACTGACCGAGTTAGCCTGGTCAGCAGTTAGTAAACAACCCCTTAATTATAATTAGAAGTTGGTATGATAATGTGGTATAAGATTTCTAGTACTATTTGGACCGGTAATACTAACCAAATTAAGTCCACAACGATTTGATGCCAATTCAGTTAGTGGGGTTGGTAACTTGATATCTGTACTTATTGATTTAGGTTGGTACAAATTTGACACCTCTAGTTCTACGTTATCTTTCATTCTCCTTTTGTTTTTCTTTCTCGAACATCTTTCATCCTTAACGTCCTCCGAAACAAAGTAAACTACATTTTTGGCACCTGTCTTTATTGTTTTCCTCAGTTCTCATCCCTACAGTTATTAAACTACAACTTATCATTGTTTGCAAAAAAGACGTTTGGAATTGGTCCATCCCTCTTAACACTGTTAAAAAACCGTTAAGTGCAGGTCATTTTAGTCTTTTTCGATTTTTGTTTCATTTTCCTTTAAAATAAATAATTAAATATAAGAGTAAATTACACCGTTGGTCCTTATAGTTTGCTCAAAATATGGATACCATCCATATCTTAGAATAAGTATACTTAGGGGCCGTTTACCAAACACTTACTCGGTAAGCACTTACCGGTAAATTTAACACTATCATTTACTTACCGGGTAAGATTTTAGTCCACAAAAACGGTATTGTATGCACAATTTACCTGGTAAGCGCTTACCATGGTAAGAGTTGTCGTCCTCACTTACCGGGTAAAACTCTTGGTCTTTATCTCGTTCTTACCGGGTTAAATTTTTAGTCCTTATCATATTTATCTAACAAGGTAATGTAACTTAGGGGCCGTTTACTTAAATACTTACCCGGTAAGTGCTTACTTATAGGAGTCAATACTATAATTTATTTTGATGAGTAAAATTTTAGTACATCAAAATGTATTGAATGCAACAATTTACCGAGTAAGCGCTTACCTGGGTAAGAGTCGTAATCTTCACTTACCGGGTAAGACTTTCCATCATTCTCATCGCTCTTACCCGGTTAGATTCTTGGCCCTGATTATGTTCATCCGATAAGGAAATTTATTTAGTAAGCACTTACCAAGTAAGCATTTAGTAAACGGCCCCTTAATGTTCACTTACCCGAGTAAGCATTTAGTAAACAAGCCTTTGGTGTTTTTGTGGTCTGCATTCCATTACAAATAGTTCTTTACCCTAACTATGGTAACTCCTAATCCATTAACCTAGGGCTAATTACGCCTTTTACCAAAAAAAAAATGAAGGGACAACAACCATTCTATGAAAACGTCCGTCCCATGAAGCGTCGTGGAACCATGCATTCCTCTTGGGTCGGGCTCTCGCGTGTCCGAGTGAATGACATTCTTGTGGTTTCATTTTATTCTATCTGTGATCGCTGCTAGGGGTGTAATGATTCGAGATTTTAACGAGCCACTGGAGCTTGAGCTTGAGCTCGAACTTGATAATTCTCGAGCTCGAGTCGATCTCTAACACAAAATAAAACTCGTTTAAATTAACAAGTTGAGCTTCATAATACCAATGTTCTACACTTCTACTCGTCTCGTATTTGGGGTGTTGCAATTTTGAAATTTTATAGCTTAATCAAATACTCGGTCCATGCTTGTTCTAGCATGTTCGGCTTATAACTGCATAGTGAATAGGGGCGTTACAAGAAACCGAGAAACCAAGCCAAACCGTTCGATTTTTACAAAATTGGAGAATCCAAGACTCGAAAAATCAAGGATTTTGAATTTCTTTTTAACGGGGGAACCAAACACATGAATGGGATTTCATTCGATCTTTTATACGAATCCCAAAAAACCTCGTCCGTTTACTAAATGCTTATCCAGTAAGTGTTTACCAAGTAATTTTCTTTACCGGATGAACATGGTAAGGGTTTAGAATCTTACTGGTTAGAGCAGTTAAGGGATGGAGAATCTTACCCGGTAAGAGTGGTGAAAGGATGGAGTGTCTTACATAGTAAGTAAGAGTGACGACTCTTACTTGGTAAGTGTTTTATGTTTACCAGATAAATTGTTGCGTACTATATCGTTTTGATGCACTATAATCTTCCCCAGAAAAATAAATTATAATGTTGGACTCCTATCGATAAGTAGTTACCGGGTAAACATTTGAGTAAACAACCCAAATCTCCAAATTTGAAGAGGAATCGTGAGCCACATGTGAGCACTAAACCAAAATTATTTACAACTATAATTTTACAATCACGAATTCCATTTTTAAATATTAAAGACAATTTCCAAAAGTTAAAAAGCCAAACCTAGAGCAATACACAACAATCACCAAGCGATTTACCTCTGTACCAGTAAGCGATTTACCTCCCCAATGATGGATGTTAGACTGGTACAGTGGGAGGGTTCAGAGGATGGCGTCATACATTTCTTAGACCGGAAAAGATTGCTCTTGGTTTGATCATTTCTTAGCTTAGGATAAAAAAGGTTAATTTGATTAAAACTTACAAGACCAAGGATCATGATGATGTGGATCCGCTTTCGGAGATTGCTGTTAGAAGATTGAATTCTCGATCCAACGTCCAAGAAGACTCGTTCCGATGGTTGATATTAAGGAAGTACTCCAGGAAATATCCGTTGTGTGTGATTATGGATACCGTGGCTCTGAAAACAAAGAGATAGCAAAAGACGTGTCGTTAGCAGTGTAAGGGGTCATTTACCTGTACAAATTGGGTAAGCGCCTAACTACGAAAGATTGCGGTCCGGATAAGCACCGACTAAAAATGGTTGTTTACCAAATGTTTGGGAAAGCGCTGACTGAACCACTGAGTCAAGAGCAACCCCTTCCTTACTGGGTCAACGTCACAGTGTGTTGGTAAACATCGCTTCTTACCGGGTAAGCACCTCTTACCCAATAAGGTAGTTTGACTTTAACATAATCTAGTTTTTTTCTAATAAACAAAAACAATACACAGCTTCTTCCTACTATTGTTTCAGTTAATGTTTTTGTCTTGCAATAATTCATTTTTTAGTAAAATTCGATTTCATTTATAATACGAAATTATTTAAACCATCAAACCAAACAGCAAAAACAAGATTGACCTTCTAAGGCTGTCATAGTAAGGTCTGGTTCAGTTCAAAGAAAAGGGAACTGATCAGGGGCAGTTTCACTCATGGTTCAAACCAAAACCAAACTAGATCAGACCACTTAACGGCCGGACTCTTAGTTGTAGAGATTAATAGAAATAATCAAAACACAAAGAGTATGTATAGATGAAGTAGATGAAAACCTGACACAATAAAGATAACGGATCATGATGTAGGGTGAATTCAAGCTATTTCACCTGCAAGCCGGAGATTCAGATGCAGACGTGTCAGCAACTTTGTCGACCTTGCGGATCACTACATAACTGTGGTAAAAACTGCATACCGTCAAAAACCTCTACACATTGTTAAGATAATATTAACTCAATTCAAAGTGAATCCTAAGCAATTCTCATATGACCAAAGATGGTCAATAAAGATGGTCAATGAAGATGTGTTGAACCATGTGGCAGCCTATTCTCCTAGACAAATTCGGACACAACTGTTTAATTCCCACTCGAGAATAGTTCATCCATACAGACAATTATTTTAGTTAGTGTTTAATTTAGACCTACAGGTAAAATAGTCATTTACGTCATTCAGCATAACTAACAAATAACAACTTAACTTAATCCATACAAACAGCTTAATCCTACCAGACTTGATGGAAAAACAATCAAACAGTTTCTTAGGCTTCTTTTCCTTTGATTGTCTAACCTTTTCGTTTTGCAACCCTAAGGGATGGATCTAATTGTAACTCATCGGACTTGACGCCTCATGAAGATTAGGTCTTGGTTTTAAATCCTAGTGGGTGCTACCAACTCGGGCCTGCCTTGGCCAGAAGACTTACAATTTGTCGGGTCGTGTAGGGAGGTGCTTTACAAAACCCCAAGGACTAATTGGGCAAAACAAGTCTGATGCCATGGTTATGAAAGAAAAAACATTTTCATTTTGCATGATTTGAGGATCCCATTTACTTGGTCCCAAGAGAGAAAATTGGGGGCCATGAAATAAAGATCGATGGGAAATGGCATACCTTTATTTCACTAGACAGCTTTTCAAATATCGTTCAGCTTAGTAGTGGTGTATAACATGCCAAACCAAAATTCCAACCTCACAACACAAGATCCAAGCAACTTCACTAGAAGCTCAATGTTTTTTCCTACTACAGAAAAGAGAAACCGAACCCATACCAAATCCCTTTGGAAAACTATCAGACCGATAAATGTTACACATTTTACAAGTTTTCTGAAAGATCGATCGATAAAGTCATTAAAAACAAACAAATCCTACCAAAAGAAAGCCATAAGAAATCGACTGTGTATTAAAAAGTGAATTTAAAACCCAATTGGGGGATTGCTTAGGATAACCTAGTGATCTTGAGTTCAAACCCTCCACTCTTTTTTGCATGTGAACTACCAGCAGTGTGCCATTGGATGCACGGCACAAGTTTTACCCCCTCAGGTGCGATTTACCAGATCATTAAAAAGAACTAAGTTCAAAAATGAGATTGTACCATAACCTGAATACTATATATTGGCAGATATACCAAAGAAACAGATAATCAACAAACTTGCTTGTCTACTCGTATTACCTCCTTATTCCGGGTTGAACAGCATTATGAAGAACATGATGATGAGCTGCATCAAGTGCATCACTGACAGAATCAGGTATAATTGATCCAAGAAAGGTATTTGACCTTCTACTTCTGGCAGATATAAGAAAAGGAAGCGATTAGCTCCACTATAAAACGTAGGAAAAGGTATTTGTTTAGCAACCGTGTTATTGAGTGAAGTGTTCTTTTACCACTCTACCATCAATGTTATTTATTTCGCCATTGTATCTTATGTTCCGCTCACTTTGTTGCCCACACCTCTCCCTTTCCAGCCAAAATTTATATTCTTGGACAAAATTACCCTTAACGATCAACAACATAACATCGGTTTTACAAGAGCAGATTTGTCAAAGAACTTTCTTTTTTTGGCTCGCAAAAGAGATCAACAAGCAAATCATGGCAGAAAATGATGTACAGAGTTCATTGGCCAAAACTTATTATACTCCATACTACAGCAGGAATATATACATACATATATATATATATATGTGTGTGGGTGTATATATATATATATAATTATGTATATATAATATTTGTCATGGATTCATGGTAACAAAAGCTTTAGATTCATCACCTTTGATCAATAGCCAAACCAAGAAAGAAAGCATGAACAGAGCCTGAAGAGCTTGTAGCTAGAAGAATATCAGGAAGTCCAGTAGACGGTCCAAATGACAAGGAATATACAGTTGATGGGTATGTTCCCCTTCGGAAACTGTAAGACTGAATATGAAGAAAAAGTTACCAAAAGAGAGAATCAGCTATCCATAGATTATTTATTCATTATCTATTCGAGCAATTTGATGTATGCTTGATGAATAAAACGGACACCACAACATGCATAAATTACAAAGTATAATTCCCAAGTTGATAATAGCCAATAGGTACCAAGATTAACCCCTGAAATCATTATTGGTTCTACTGTTTTCGCTGTTCAACAATTTCATTCTGTGGGTATGAGGAGAATGAAGATGTTGTTAGTCTCGTCTGCTTGGTGTTAAAAGAACAGATATGAAGCCAGCAAATGAAGAATGGAGAATAGAGAAAAATAGCATAACCAAATGGAATGAATCTACTTTAAGAACCAAAGTCTTGAGAGACTAAAACATAATTATGTATATAGCGTTTCACCTTGGTTGCGTCTGAAACAGAATGAACCCTGATTATAGTCCCCTGTTCAGATGCAGTCGCTATGTACATCCCATTCGAAGAAAATACCATTGCAGCCAAAGGTGAGCGATGAGCATCTATCTGCATTTTAACACATTAATGACCACCGTTGATTGAATAAAGGTCAATAACCCACATTGTGATTTTTTACAAGTATTTTTCATTTTGGCAAGTCAATCATTCAACAACTTCCATGTAGCAACATATGAATGGTAGATGCAAGATATAGACAACTACTTGAATAAACTCAAATGCATATCATAAAGCTGTATCCGAACATTAACATGATTTACAGATCTCAGATGACCAAATACAACGCACATCTTCACACATTATTAGAAATGTAAATATGATGTTAAGCTCAGTATCTAGCAGCTGTAAATGCATAAATAGGGCAGCCATCAAGCAATGGATTATCGGCAAGAATTATTATTATATTTCTGGTCTTGAACTCAAAATATAAAAGGATTAACTTATCCCGCGTAATCAGGAATAACATCAGTGAGAAAACAGGGTTCATCTACAATACTCCTATCTCAAACGGAAAATGAGGAGAAGATTTTAAGAACCCAAGCATGACAGATTTTGTACCGAAGACTCCCAAAATAGATGTTTAACCTGTGTCCTAAAATTTCTTGGTCTTGATTTCTAAATCTTTTCATGACACGTTTATACTCATGACTTCATAATTATCAATTTTAGCTGATCAAAATTCAAATGACTGTTCAAAATGTGTATTTCATCAAAATTTCACATATAACAGCTCAATATTTATGTAAAATCAATCAATACAATCATTTTTAAGTTTGGTGAAAAATGATCTTTATGAAAATATATCCATAGTGACTTGTGAATATATACATATAAAAACACAATGGATTTCTTAAACCTAAGGTCTTGACAAAATACTAACTGATTTTTGGGACGAAGGGGGAACAAAGGATGGAGTTTAAATTTGAAATCAAGAAAGTCACAAATATGCATAAATAAGTAGTGCCATGACAGTTTATCTGGTCAGTTTCTTCCCATACAGGCGAGGTTATGAATCAAAATCATGCAGATTTTCATTATTCGATGAAATAATAATAATTAACCTCACAGTGTGAATGGAGATCCATAACATTGTAGACTAACACAGACCCGTTTGTGGTACTTGCTGGAAGAGCTAGAAAGCAACCATCCAAACATGGGGAAAAAGCGCAAAGCCCTGAAAGAGAATGACAAGAGATAAATAGCGAATAGATATGCAACGGTAGCACTAGCATGATACCAATATTTATTCTCACAACCTTCAAATATTAAGCATGTGCATCTTAAGAGGGTAAATAGTAAATAAAACCTTAACACCACGAGTATTAGTTAAGCACCAACCGGACACACTCTTCAAAGGATTAAACGATAGATATAATTTAATGATCGACAAAGTCTGAGTGCAAAATAAACCTGGCTGCTAGAGAGCTACATCAATATGCGTTAATTGTTTGCACCGAGAACTTAGACAACAAAATGTGGTGATTGTGTTCATATGCCTTTCGGTTGTCTTCCCATTTCCTTGAAAAGCACCATAACATAAACCTTGTAGTCAACCCCTAGTTGGAATATCATCCTAATATCTTCATTTTCAACTTGCTTCCTAGTAATGGACTAATGGCTTCCACATTACAATATAAAATGGGGTTTATGGAACGAGAAATTTCTTATTCTACATTCCTCTCATCACTTACAAAAGTTATTCATAGCATTGCCATGCCACATCGCAGCTTTTCCTCATGATTACTGTAATCTCTCCTATAATTGCATATGGTGCAAGAGTACAGAAAATAGTTTCTTCACTAGGCCATTTGGTCAAACTGAAGTCGCTCACTTGAAGAACAGACTAAGCACTTAAAGCTTCAGGCCATAATGAGGGTCTACTCCACAGTGCATGCAGCCTCTACCCTATGAATAAGATAGGCCAAGTTACATTGTTCAAACATCACCTCTGGTCATGCATGGAGCAACACATAAGTGCGCAAAAAAGAGAATTTGTTCACATAGAAATATAGAATCAGATGCAAAATTCCTAGGAGTACCCACTGCGAGTGCTCAATTTATGCTGAAAACATAACCACCAAAGTCAACATATGACCTACTCACGAAATTTACAAGCAAGTGAAGCAACAAAGCACCGACATTTACGGATTCAATGACTTTGTTTGGATGACAGAAGTCCTGGAAGGTGGCACATTCATGAAAGATAAAAAAATATCGATGGAAAATATTTTCTTGTAATGGCATATGAGAATAAGTGCTCATCCCTTATGATGCAGAGGTTAACAAAATTAGAGCCAATATTTTTTTTAACTGGATGCTTTTTTCCTTTCATATTTCAACAGTCGGCTCGGCTGGCAAACAAAAATGAGACTACAAGTCTGGAGACAAAAAAGAACCATCACCTTTCAAATTTGGCACTGTGTCAATCGTGTCCAAGATAACGAGACTGTTTATATCATATATGAATGTCTTTCCTTGCAAAACCACGATGAGCCTGCATGCATGGATGGTATTCCACACAGAAGGAAAACCCACGTTAAGATGTACAGAAATTCTCAACAAAATGCAACATATCCGATTAGAACATTATAAAGACAAAAGGACGCACGGTGATAATAAGCAATAAATTGAGACATTTACTGGCAACTATCTTTCTCATGCTTTCAAGGTAATAACAGCATAAATATAAATATATTAAAAAGTTTACCCTTAATCTTGTTTCTTGATCCATAAGCACCCTCATAATTGCCAAGTACTGGAGCATTATACTGGGAAACCACAAACTCCACTTGAATTGAGGAGCTTACTCTTGACACAAACTAAAAGGTTGATAGAGTTATGGAAGAGCTGAAATCCCTATTATATCACTGATACTAGCCTTGAATTAAAATGGGAACCAGCCCTAACTAATTGAAAAAAGTCTTAACAATATATAACAGAAAATCAAGATCAACTTCCATCTCGTGGGAAGTATAGTGATGCCTTCAAGAGATTGTTGGAGGTGGTACAGCTTCATCCCTTTAGATGACATGTTCGTACTACCTGGGTTTGTTGGAGAAAAATCATTGACACATACATGCTAGCAACATCTACTTATGGCCCATTGACAGCATAAATATTTTAACTTCGTATATACCAAGATTCTCTAAACACTACAACCATGTGACCAGCTTTTTGTTGAAAATTTGCAAATACAACCCCACTGCTGCTATTGGCGACTTTCCAAACGAATTCAAAGTTGTGTCTAATGTCGTGCATTGTGTACCAAAAGTTGGCTCCTATTACAAGCAACTTCTTAGGTGAGTTCATGTCATGTTCAAAGTTGCTTGTGGGCTCTGATCATGTTCATTAGACTTTGTCTGATTTCAAAGTGGGGATTGTTTGATTTGTAAGAGGATTTGATAAAGACTTCAAGTGTTCTTTGGTAAGTTCAATGCAGATAGAAATTTGGTAAGCTCTCTTAATTGTAATCCTCGTTTGGTTTGTACAATACAATCCTTCACCACTCCTTGTGATGTACACCATCATACTAATAGTGGAACCATGTCGTTATTTGTGTTGCTTATTGCTATAATTGTCATGTGGTTGCATTTGTTTTGCACATTCCATCATGTACATTGTTTCGATCCATTTTGTTCTGCATTCAGGTGTTCTGGTCAATCACACATTTCTATACTGAGATTGGGGTTGATTTTCAACACTTTCAACTTGTTATATACTAACTGTGGGCAAAATTAGTTGATCAGCTAAAATTCAGCAGATTTTATTGGCAATATGGTATTAAGTACATTATGGTAGGCTATTATCAGCATAGTCAGATCATCAGACATCAAAGTAACAATTACAGCACTTCCATTGAGATGCAATATTATTTGTTGAGAAAACAGCAATACTTCATAAAACTCTTTCTGTTCTTTCGCCCCTGCCAGGCCCGGGAAGAGGGGGGGGGGGAAGGTTTATATTATCATACTTGTTTCTAATAAATGCACTTGACAAGTATCATATTTTTGCAACTCGTAAAATCGTTGTGTGAAATTGATAATATATGAATATAAATATATAACAGAGCTAAGTGTGTTGTAAATTAAAAGCATAACAGTTACCTTTTTCTATTTACACAAACAGCCAGAATTGAAGTTAAGAAATTTAATTCTCGGAGAGGAATGCCAGTTTTAGTATTGAACAAGCATAAACGCCTGGGTGATAGAGATGCCTGTCAAAATTAAAGCAAGCATGACAATCAAAGTAGATAGGTTCTGTGGTGAAGTAAGAACTGAGTGAACTGGCTTAGAAAGTTCTGAACTGTAGTAAAACCTGTTCACCAGCTCCAACAATGACAAGAAGACTAGAGCTGAAAAGCATTTCAACAATAACAAATGCTCCAATAACTGCGGATGAAATATTAATTCATCATTAGAATTGATCCACATCATATATCTCCAAAGCATTCACACATATAAAATAGCACCAAGTTAGTTGACATAATTATCATCTCCTAGAAGATGTCTTACTTCATGATATTTTAGCTTCTAGAAACATGGGTTTGTGTGCACAGGAGAATTATTAGAGCATCCACAATGGATGGTTTTTATAAGCAAAAAGTGTAGTTCTTATATGTCAATACCAAAGTGGAGAATTCTTATAAGTCACCAACATGTTTTGAGCTCTTGTACAAGAACCTAGGTTCTAACCTTGATTATTGTGTTAAATATTTTTGTATTAGTTTTTAGGTATTTTTGACTGATATATTACATTGAAAAAATATATTGGACCCAAAAAAGGAGGTTCATGTAAGTGACATTCATAGTCAATTTTTCATGTAGATTCTTAATTGGTCGAGTTGCCAATGATGTGGCAAAGAAAAAGTGCAAAAAGTAGGTTTTAATTAGTCACTCCATTGGAAATTGCTGACTATGAATACGGGTGATACAGATGGGAGGTTTGATCTTCTTTTAATAAAAAAAAGGAGAAGAAAACAGATTATAAATTAAAAACTAAAGATACAACTCAAAATACAAAACTTACGTCTAATACCATCAAGATAATTAGATAAAGAAARGAGGCTAGACGATACAACAACAAAAATCCTAGACAGTTTTAGACTCTTATGGCCTGCCAAAAGAAGTAAGTCTCATTACAGGTCAAGTAGGTTACCATTTTATATATGAAGATAATATCTTCATTTATTGGTTTGATATTAGTTCTATTAGGCCTTTTATCTATAAGCATATAGAAACACCCCCCCCCCCCCCAATCATCATTAACTTTAGAATGATTTGAGTCTCCAGTATTTGCCACATAGTCATCTGTTCCACATTGGCCATGATCCATCTATTGTTCTTATGTGTTTCATGATTTTGTGATTGATCCAATAAATTCTCTTTGTAAATATATCCAGTTAATTATGTTTGCCTGTCATGTTCTAGATTTTTTTTTAATTAACCTGGATATCCAACCCGCTATGTGAGCCGACTAATCCCAGGGTGACCACCTGCTTTGCAGATAGCCCGGAGTCACCGCATTTGAACCTCCATGGCCACAAGAGGATTTTTCTTCCTCCTAAGATTTGAACCTAGACCTCCTGGTACTTTTGACTTGAGCCAACTCAAGCCAATCAAACCAATCAGGCACCAACCGTGTGGTTAAAAGAAAAGAGGAAAAATAAATTCAATCTTTCCATCGAGTTTTACATCAACAAATTCAACCCAATTAACTCTAAGGGGTCAGCTTAGATGTCAATCCCCTGTGCCCTGTGGCCTTCTATCCAATATGACATGAATCTCAGGTTCGATTATTGATTTTGACCATGTCAATTTGCTAGGTTATAAAAGTTTAAAATTCAACCCACTTAAGTCTTGCCTGATTGCATGAAACCCTCCAATAAACTAAAATTAGCTCCTTGTAGAACTCCATAATTCATCAGAATTTATTTGGTACACCAACCTTACATAGAATTATTAACATCAACACCAGTTTCCATATGATAGAACATACCTCGTTCATATAGGAGCCTCCCTGTACTCGAATCAAAGATTCTGAAACCATCTTTCGTCCCAATTACAAAACAACTAAATTCGTTCATGGAATTAGCAAAACCCAAAATTCACATTAAAAAGCATACAGATTTCAGATTTAGTATCAGAATCAATACCTGTTATCTTGATTGAAAGAAGCACATAGAATTGGATTTGCAGCAGAACTACTTGCTGCCATCTCAGGAAAAACTATTGCTTGACTGCTTGCTTGTTCGCCTGATGATTTTCGATATAAAAGAATTTGAATATAAGCTTTCGATTACATAGGCCCATCACTCCACAATTTGAAAAAACCCATTACTGATTGGGCCCAAAAGTTCACGTTGGTTGGAGTTCGAATTGGACTTGATGGGTGTACTTTGTGGGTTTATTGGGTTTTCAACTTCTTTTTAGCTATTTGATAATCAAATCGAACAACACTCGATTTAATCGATTTCGGTTTTATTCAGTTTCAGGTTATTCGGTTTTGTTTTTTTAGGTAAATCGAATAAGGGCTTTATTAAAATAAGATCATCCAAAATTTTGGTATACGAAAGGGTTACAATTTTTTTGGATAAGGTGTTGTTTACCAAATGCTTACTCGGGTAAGCGCTTACCAACTCACTTTACTTTATCGAATAAATATGGCAAGAACTAAAAATCTTACCCGGTAAGAGCGAAGGCAAAAATCGAGAGTCTTACCCGGTAAGTGAGGACGAGGACTCTCTTCCAAGAAATGCAGAAATTCAAGACACCTCCAAATCCTACAACAATCACTAGTATTTCTTCTGCTTGTGCTCAACTTGGTGCTCGAAGTCCAGAAAACTGGGTTCATGATTTAGCAAGCAAAGAAAACTTCAAGTCTAATGTGGAAGCATAGAAGAGGCTCGTCGAGTATTTAACACCATGCCCGAAAAGAATGCGGTCACATGGAATGCAATGATCTCTGGCTATGGTCTCCATGGCCGTGCTCACGAGGTGCTCAAGATTTTTTATTAAATGGTGGATTCGAAAGCACCCTTATGCGGGGTTAGTTTTGTTTATGTATTATATGCTTGTAGCCACGCTGGATTGGTGAAAGAAGGAGAAAGGATTTCTACGCAGTGGTCCAAGATCGTGGGTCGAACCCATACCTGAGCATTACGCCAGCATGGTTGACCTTCTTGGTTGAGCTGGAGAAGCACAAAAAACTTTCAACTTCATCAAGAAAATGCCCATTGAGCCTGGTCCCTCTGTTGGGATTTTACCATGGGAATTGATCCCACATAGGAAAGAGAGATAAATTTGGAGAGGTTTATGACGCTAATTCCATAAGCTTTATCAAATTGGACTAAGCTACATGAATTAAGCTTGGTGCTTGCATATAGACATTAATGGTCAAAGATAAGGCCTTGGGTGATATATTTCTAATTTACCCCTAATGAGTTGTTTATATATTTCTTGTATTTCGATTAATTTATGTAATTTATTAAATTAAAATAAATATTTTATATAATAAAATATATCATTAGAAATTTTTCGTCAAGACTGTTAAAATTATACCAAAATAAAAAAATCTGCTTAGACAAAATGGAAGATATTGTCAATAAATAAAACTATGTCTTGTTCATTAACATCTCAGAAATATTCCGTTTAGTTTTCAGTTTCTACTTTATACCTTTTATGTATTATATTCTTATTACTATTATTTAATAAGTTATATAAATTAATCAAAATATAAAAACCGTATAAAGTTTATATTTTGAAAACATTAAAGTGAAAGTTTAAATAACATAAAATAAAATAAATAAAATGTAAAGAAATTATTCAAATTCAAAGCATTACTTTAAGCTTGGATTAAAGTGATAGAATTGAGACTTAGAGGATTTGGAAAAAATTTCACGTCAAATAGATACGTAAAACTGATTTTTTCGGGAGATCTTTTCTGGAATATTTTTGTTGGATGTTATAGATTATCTCTTTATGAACGTGTAGGCGAAAATCTCATAGAAAACGGAGGTCCGAGCGAAAAGTTATGAATATTTCAAGTGTTAATAGTCAAAATGGGTACCTAGCCGGATCAACCCGACCCAACTCGAGTTTTAACATAATAAATTGGATTTTTAGCCCATTTTTCTTGTCATTTGATGCAAGAACTCACACACACACTAGAGGTGCGATTTTCATACACATAAACTCGATTCAACTCAAATCAAAGAGGCACTACAAGATCTTTGAAGGATTTGATCATCAAGTAAGGTATAATTCATCTTTGCACTTGTTCTTAATTGACATTCTTGTTATATAGATTGTATGTTGAGATAGAGTTAGGGTTCCATATGTGTTTGATCTTAAATGTATAAAATGAGTGCATTTTAGTAGTTATGGCTTGAAATGATCATTAGATTCAAAAGATTATCAAGATTTTTGCAAGTTTATCATATGAACTTTGACTTGATCAAATCAATGATTTGGGAGAGAATATAAATTATAAAATAAAGGTTGGATTTGGTTGTTTATGTCAAATATGTTATATTAAGTTGATATTTAGAAGTTGGAATAATTTGGGATCGAAATGGTTTGAGAAAAAAATATATGAAAATGAGAATTTCGACTTAAGAATGCACTAAAAATATACAGACTTTGAAAAACTGTATAAAATCATAGAAAAATTCAAATGAGGTGAGGCCAATCTCCTTAGTTATATAATTGAGTCTAGTTTATTTCTTATTTTATGATCAAGACATGAATTCGAGTTTAAAATAGGCAAAACAGTTCTGCATGCAGCAGCTATACATAGAAATTTAGGTAAAGTGTTCAAATAGGATATGTGTATATCATGAGTTTCTTTTATTGGTTACTTATGAGATTTTGTACATTTACTCCATGGGGAAGTTAGGACATATTTTGATGCTTTTGAAACATTCTAAATGTGGTAGCTTGGACTTGCTTTGTGAGCTCATTTTGGAGTTTTTCGGTATTATACGGTTGCCCGGGGAGCTATATAGTTAATTGTTACATATTGATTTGAACATATATATTTTCATATGAATGTTTTCGGTCTTGATTTGAGTCACACGATCTTGATTTGTCTTTGATTCCGTCACTTGAGTCTATTCCATATTATGATCTCATTATATCGGTTTGCTTTCCGGATCCGGACTCGTTGTTTTGTTCCTTGAATTGTACGCCATATTGCGGGTACTACTTCGTGTGGCACACCAGAAGTTTATGGCGAAGTCAAGATCCCGGGTTGGACGGGTGAGACTTTATGCGGTTGTGAATACTCATTGCTCAAAAAGGAAAAAGAACAATGAGTATGGAACCTGGGCACATACCCGGTAGAGGAAGGCGGGCAGTGCGAGGTTTCCCGTAATGTACGGTTCTGACTCGGACTTTGGCATGAGCCCGGAAGGTGAAGGACGGGGTGATGCACTGTTTTCGTTATGTTTACTGATTCGATCTCTTGGTTCTTGATATTTATCGGTATTCTAACGATTGTTGAATATATTTGGTTATTGAGCATCATTGGTATGGTGATTTGAATATGGAATTGTATGATCTTAGCATCCGGTACGTAATTGTTCACTCGGTTTCTTGTAAGTCTCGGTTTGCATTTAGATGAAGTCTTGAACTCTTTTATTGATAAGAGTTTATTATGTATGTTTATAAACATGTGCAATATTGATATGTAATACTTAACTATTTAACTCACTAAGCGTTGACTTACCATTTAAGTGACAACCTCTCTCAGGAAAGAAGACGGATAAAAAGAAAGAACCCGTTGTTTGACTCGAAGATTTATCGGGGAACTTAAAGATTACAAACTTGTTTTTGGGTAAATAGTAACTTATTACTGTATCTCATAGATGTAGTAAGTGTAGCTTATATATAGTCTTGTTCTGGTTATAAATATGTCCCGTATTCTTTTGCTACTTAATTCGGGTTGTAAGTAAAAATCCGTTATATCCGGTTTGGAATTATGTTTCGGGTGGTTTTATCACTAAAATAGAACGGATATTTCGAAGTTTTTCTAGAAAATTAATATCCCATATTTTGAGGTTGATCAACGATAAGCCATTTCATCGCCTGCCTCTGATCCATTTCATCACCTGCCTCTGGTCCATTTCATCGCCTCTGGACCATTTCATCGCCTCTGGTCCATTTCATCGTCTCTGGTCCATAGGGGCTCTGGTCTTCCTCCAGACTTAGTCGTTTCAACAGCATCTTCAGATTTTCCATCCTTGGCCCGATTGCTTTTATAAAACTTTTAAAATAATTATGATCAATTTTGGTCCTAAAAATCAATAAATTTATAATTTATTGGATATTTTTATAAAGTTGGTAACTTGGGGTTTCTTGAGTGAGATGTTACACCCAAAGGCAGTAGATTTATCAAAAATAGATTTTCCAGCGACCATGGTGGTGATTGGCGGGTTCGATGCTCTACACGACTGGCAAAAAAGGTACCACGAGTGGATGAAGAAGTGTGGGAAACAGGGATACTTGGTGGAGTACCCAAATATGTTCCATGATTTCTACATCTTCCCGGAATTTCCGGAATCGACACAACTTATTGGGGAGGTGAGGGAGTTCATTCACAAGGTATCGAGTAACGTTGGCTCTTTATTAACAAATTAAATCCATATTCATTTATAATCATTCGAACGCATGATACATTTCATTCTTGAACAAAAATCCATTTTTTGATTTATTTAATCTATTCTATGACCGGAACAGGGGAGGATACACGTTACACCACGATTTTGAATCGTTTAGTATATGATGTTTTAACCTAAACGGTTTCAGCCTAATCATACCAAACAATTATACTACAACTTTTGGTTGTGTTTGTCTCTAGGGTGGGCATTTGCGGGCACCGTTCCTAATAGGGCGGGGACGAAAGTTCATTTTCACACCTGTGTTCGGCCTCGATTAATTTTTTTATTTTGTTAAATATATCTAGCAGCATATGTGTGCATGTGTGTATATTTTTTTTATGATATATATATAGAGAGAGAGAGAGATATATAGAGGCTCATTCAAGGAAGAACTGACTAGTTTGTGATAGGGATGGTGATTTTGCCCGACCCGGTGGGGAACCCGGTTCACCCGACCCGGACGGGGACGGGGATTCCCCGCTAAAACGGGTACCGGGGCCGGGGCCGGGGATCCCCGGTAGAGGCAAACCGGGGACGGGGCCGGGGCCGGGTATTGTATC